GTCTATCTAGTTATTATTTATCTTTTTGAAAAGAAAGCATATTTCTATGTCCAATTAATTTCCAGGAGTACTTAGCGGGGTTGTCAACTATTACATTACATGTAGATAAAATCAAATATGAAATATTTCATGTGAATATGGCACAATGAGGTTGCCCTGACACAAGAAGTAAAGGTAACGGATTACATTCGTTGTAGAAAGCTGTCCAATTGAATTTCAACCACTTTCTCTGCCAGTGGTCTTTGCAACTTCTCCGAATTAACAATCGTACAAATATGACATTTACGATAGAATTAACGATTCTCGTAACCCAACTCGGAATTTAAAGACGGACGTTTAAACATTCAACGGGCAGACTACACAGAACCTTTTTTTATGATGCCTTGATTGGTGTCATTGTTAGGAGATTGATCCGAAAGTAACAATCTTTAGGGATTTTCTCATCTGTCAGTATCTCAGTTTAAGAAACTTTACGAGAGTTGCTGTTATCATAACAGATGTTACTTCAAAAGCCGAAAATTATTTCGTTAACACGTTTCATAATGAAATCGAATATGAACCCTTTGTAATCATCATTTTACAAACATGACAAGAAGGCAGAAAAAGAGGATTTTCTGCAATTTGTGTGCATTTTAATTGGCAACGTATACTGTTCAGTGCTGATCTTTGACCAACAACTTTTGTTAATGGAATTTTAAGGACAACGGTACATTGATGAATAATCATGGGCTACAATTCGAAAATAGCTATCACACTCAATAATTAAAAAAGCTGTGAAATCGATTCATATCATCACAATGACATGTAATCGATGAATCTGAGAAGCATGAAGATAGTTCAAAGTTCACATTTTTGTTTCCATTTTCAACAAGAAGAGTTCAAATTATATACAATAAATACATAACAAACAGCATTTTAGTCTTGGCTCATGATGTTTCAAATCTACTGAAAATAGTTTGAAGACAAAAAATGATCACGTTAGATTTTACCTCGTTATAGATTACTTAATTGTAATTAATCAAGAATGCAGATTGTTCTTTTGTTCTGTATTCAAAAGCACAAATTTTATGAACAAACAAAATATGCTCATGTAAAATCTAACATGATTTGGCAATGTTGCTACTTCAAATGCTTTTTTTTATTTTTTAAATGGAGTCTATAAAAACATTGACGGAATTGTTTTTGACACATTTCATTTTTTAGAGAATGCCTCGCTCTCGATAGAATTTGAAGTTTTCTGAAACCTGGCAAGGAAGAATTTATCGAAATTAATATTACTTTTGATAATTAACTTTATGTATTTGAGTGAGTTAAACGATGGAGCGTAAACATAATAGTTGAAGGGATTAATGGCAATGGCATTTCCAGCTTTAAGCATACCCCCCCCCCCCGAATCCAGAACCACTTAAATATCCAACATAATCGGGGGGAAGAAAAAAGAAGCAAAGATAATTACTTATTGCAAAATAATACAATACGGTTGATCCCATATGGGGAGGGGTGAGGGTTCCCAAAGTCCCCCCTCCGCCTCAACATTATTTTTTCGTTACGATATATAGGGAACCGGTTGAATTGATGAAAGGTTAAAATCGTATCGTTCAAAAAATATATAAAAAAGAACGGGAAGGAATTATCTATAGAATTACAAAATCTTAACATCAAAGAGAATTTGATAGCACACCAACAAAAATTCATTAAAACTTCAATGCACTATGCATAGAATGTACATAAATATAAGAATTTGGGAATCGATGAATGCGTATTGGCCCAGGCAATTAATTGTTAACCAATTATCTTTGAATGAGATGAACTTTACAAAAGTAATTCTTCTCACATAACTTTGCCCATGTTGGTCTTTCTGATGGGAATTTGTATTAGATAGTTTATTTTTTGTATCTTTTGAAGTACTCAACACTTCCTTTTATCGTTTTAGAATAACAGTGATTCTTGACCATCTGATTCGGGGGAATTAATAACACATTTCCTCGATTCAAGAATAATTCTGGATTGTTGTGACATGAATTCACACTGGAAATAATTAATCTCCAGCCATTTCCGTACGAATTTGCTCACACGCTGTTAAAAGAAAATGCTCCTTTATAAATGCTCCCTTCAAAAGATGAATGATTATTAAATGCTCTAATGATAATGATAATAATAATGATAATAAGGGTAATTTGTAAAGTGCATAGTAAAACTAAGATTATTCGATGCGCTATATGAAGATTTCAGATTTAATTTAAAAAATATATTTCAAAGCGTTGTAGTTGTTTTTCTAGAATTAACTTAAAGTACTTTTTAAGTGCATAATACAAAAAAGAAAATTCGATGCAACTTAAAGGTTTCAGATTTTTGTTAAATAAATAAAATCGCTGTAGTTGCTTTTCTAGAATAAACTTAAAGCAAATGTTGTAAATGATGCTATTTGTTAAACGAGGAAACGCTTGGTTGGATTAATGAGACAGAGCTTCAGATGATTAAGTCTGTTCATGAAAATATTAAAAGAAAATAATATCCATATTCCTATATCGCAATAAAGAAACGAAACAGTTTAAAGGGATCGTTTAACCGGTTTAACAATGTTAAATCTGAATGTCTGTAATATGGTAAAATGCGCTTCAAAATGATCAAGAAGTGCCTCAAAAAAGGAAAAAAAACTTTGAGTGACCGGTTATACCAAACTCGTTTTTCCCAATAGGCTGTAGTGTTATGAAAACCGTTTGGCAAACGGTTTTCAAAATTTGTAATTCCAATCATAAATATCTTGATAATCAGACAGGCGATCGGCTTGAAAAAGTCATGGGGTTCCTGATTGACTTTAAGGTTTATAATTATCATTGCAGCATGAGCTAAATCGAGGATTTGTTTCAAGGATCTAAGACAAAGTTACCGGATCCCTTTAAACAAAAAATACAAGAAAGCAATTATATAAAGCGAAATGCATGTCGAAAAAATGCACATTGAAAAATCTTAATTTGACTACAGTTTATGCGACCAAACATTATCATGGTTACTGGGAGAACTATAACTGCACGCTGGTATTGATATTTTGCCATATAATGAATGGATTGATGATTTATTATGTGGTCATACTCTTAAGTGACACCTTACCACATCCTAATTCAACGTCAGAATATTCAATAGGTGATGTCAAATTTAGAAAATATACATTAAATGCGACAGATTATATGGTCTCTTCTGCTAGGCATGTGCATTTTGTTTAGCTTTCAGTATACATGTTATGTTGCGAATATGTAGTATATTGAAAAATTAAAGTTATAAGGACTTGCTTTGCACAGTTTTAAAAACACATTCTTTCCTCGGAATCGATTGATAATATTGCATCTTCTTGATTTCTTTAAATTTATCCTTCATTCCCATGTCTTCCTTCTTCTTCTTCTCCTTCTTTGTTTTTGTTTCTTTTTTTTCTCTTCATCATTATCATCCTATTCATCATCATCATCATTATCATCATCGTCATCTTGATTATCTTCATACTCATCATTATCTTCATCTTCTTGATCGGCATCTTCTTCTTTTCTCACCTTTCTTTCTTATTAGTTCTTATTATTATTATTTCTTTTTCTTCTTTCTTCTTCTCCTTCTTCTTCCTTTCTTTTTCAATATTCACTGTAAACCTCCTCCTCTTTATTCTTCTAAATCTTGATATTGTTACTCTCATGCCCTTTTTGTTGTTGCAACTCTTCTCATCATTACCTTTTCAATCCGTTTTTGGTTATTCTCTTCTTTACGACGTTGAAGAAGAAAAGAACCAATGTCAAGGAAAATCAAGGGCAAATACTTTTACTGGTTTAATTGAAGAAATAAATATAGGTATAACTCTATATGTTATATCATCCATTGTTTCAAATGAAATACATATTATCGTTGCATTCAAAGGAATTTCGAAACTCGATTTCTAGCACACTTATTTATTATCATAATATGATTTTAATTTAAATTAATTGAATTAAAATATAGGAGAACCGATTGTTGAATTGATTGTTGCTATTTTACGTTATATTCTTTGTTGCATAAATGGGAAAGATAATAAGTCAAGTATGAGAAACTAACCAAGCTTAGACTCTGAAGTCAATAACAACAATACTATATAGAAAGTAATATGGGATGTGATTGGAATACTTTTTCAGGTAAATTACATTTTAAAAGGAAATACTTTTTTGTCAACTATTTATATAATAATTGACATAATCATGGATGTTAACGAAGGCCAAATGAAATACAGAAATGTGTATTTCCTTCGAAAATTTCACAAAGCACATTAAATCCAATGACACGAATAAATTCAATAGCAAAAATTATGCAATAGCATAAGGATTTCCGTGTTGTTGTTGGTTACAACTGGCAAAGGCAATCAGTGGAATTATGTTGTCATTAACGATAAATGCATGTTTTATCAGGAAGGAAAATCTTTATTAAGCACTAATTGGGATATATAATAATGTTATGAAATGGTGTTATATAAAGTTGAGTTAGATATTTGTTAAAAAGCTTGTAATGTTCGGTGTATCTACAGCTTAATGTTTGATTTCACCGTGGAGCGTTTTCAAACTCCTTTGTTTTAGGCAATTTTAAGGTAATGGAAATACACAAGAATGCCTTTTGACTTTGCTTTCAGGAAATTATATAAGCCATTAGTTTATATCTTCATAGATGCTGTATCATTGTTAAGCTTCATGCGATTACTTTTATATGTAGTGTCCAATGGTGATGGAGTGATTTGTACATATATTCATTTGAACAAAATGTTTCACAACCTGTAAAATATGCCAGCGGCTTTGAAGATTACTTTTCTTGACAAAGAGATTCGGTCAGGTATTGACTAGTCAATCATAATCAAACTTTTGGTTTAGTAATCTTATCTTAACCATATATAACCATATTTAACGGTGAGGAAATCATATTTGTTTGTATTATTATCCGTTATCATGGAAATGATTTTTGTTAAAATGAAAAAGAATGGTAAGAAATGTCCTCACCAGATGTAGGACTGATGCTTTTCATCCAGGGGTAGAATGCCATCTTCTCACCATCTTGCTCCTTATTACATCTCACTGCTGATAGATCTCGAATCTCCCTGTCTGCCGCCGAAGCATCAAGGTCCTGTTTGTGATAGTCTGTTGCCTTGAAGGTGAGGTATGAGGAACTGAGATCGTTTGGTTTGCACGGGTCGAAGAGCGTCGAGGAGTACGGGGTGACGACGGCGTGTTGAGCGGCGGCAGATGATGCGGTTGACGACCCGAGACTGCAGGAGCTAAATGACTTCCCCGATGGGGCGGGGTACGAGTCGGACGTGTGGTGAGGGTAAAACTGGTGAGGCATGAAAAATGGGAAAGTACTGTCGAGGTTGCTTTGGGAAAAGTGTTGTGAGTTTTGGTGGTGTCCTGATGACGGTGTGAGCTCGTTGAGCGGGGTGAGGATGGGCGAGGCATCGACGGGAGCCCGGCTCGCCGCGGCGTTGGCGATCCAGCTCTCGCCGGGCGCTCGGCTGCTCATCCCCGCTGTTTGGTGGTGGTGGTAGTCCGCGTAATACACACTCATGCTGACGATCGTTATATCACTCACTTTTTTAAAAACTCTTTCCTTTCCCGCGTTGATGCAGGCCTGCGGGTGATTTAGCCACAAAGCCACCGTTTAATACTGTGATCTCAGTACGACACCCATGGATTATGTCGATATTTATCATAAGAGCAGCGCGATGACGGATTGCCCGATGATGATGCTTGAGACGGCCTCACGTTTAGACCAGTGAGTCGGAACGGTCGGACGCAGCCCAACTCCGTCGGAGCGGGGCCCCGAGGCGAGAGGTGTCAGGGGACTGTAATCAGATCCGGAAGCATCGGGATTCGAGAGAGAAGTCGACTCCGTGATTGCCGAAGAGACGACACCAGCCGGACAGACGACCAGGCGGATGAAGACGGAATAATAATCCTTCCAAAAATTGAAATCAATTTCATGACCCCCATCGCTCTCTCTCCCTCTGCACCCATCTCAGAGGAGAAATCATTTACACAGCATCACAATTTGACAATCATGAATATAAGATGGTATTCTCACTTCCCTTCTGGCTCCTGGTTTTTGTCTCCATATATCTTTTAATCATAAACTTGACGATTTTCACACGGTTTACTTTACAGAAAGCAATTTTTTAATACAAAACAAACAAACAAACCAAAAGTGAATAATTATATAGCAGTGAAGTCTTATATGATATATTATTTTCAAAAACTTGTTTGTTGAGTTTTGGGGATGACGCTCTCGCAATCACAATTTACATAAAGTGATGGGACACTGAGTATTTTATTATTTTGGATAATGTGATGGATGACCCTTACGCAATAATATGAAGCAAATACTATGTATCTGATGTTGAACAGAATAATTGAAATTTATCCTTTTCTGCTGCATATTAGTGAAAACATTGGCTCATTTGAATTTAAAGATGATTATGAAAATATCAAAAGATCGTGGTGAAACTGATTAGAATTGATTTGTGTGGAACTTTCCAAATATTAATCGTTAAAAGAAAAGAAAATTGAGGGAATACGAGAAATATGAGAAAAAGCGAGGCAATAAGTAACATATACATGTATGAATTAAAAAGCAGTAAAAAGAATAGAGATTAGAATCAGAATTCAATAATTTCTTTGCCATAGATTCGTCTCCCATTACAAAAAAACACACATACAAAGCAATGAAATCACAACATATTATATCGAACCCTCAAGAAGAAAAGACGTTTTGTTCGAATCAAAACATTGTAGAAAGAAGTCATTAATTCCAAAACTATAGGCGTAATTCATCACAACGCCTAACCACGGAGTTCACCGCAGGACAACCCCTAACACAACTAATACATCATCTTTACCCTATATTCTGATTTGGGGGACACGTCAAACCAACCCTTAGCAGCATGCTTAAGGTTTGATAAATCCATTGGTTTGTCAAAAGTCACAACTAAACAATCAGCAACAAATTATTGTCATTATACTCGACGATTGCTGGGCAATCACCGGGCCAATAGATGTCCGGGACAACACGTCGGTTGGACGGTCAACATCATTAGTCTTTTAAAGAGATGCGTTGCAAAAGGTTTAAACAAAACGTTCAGCTTTCCAATTCTCGTCATACCTCTGTCGAAGAATATGACACAGAAGCAATCACATCTGAAAAAAGGTTCTTGAAATGCTCCAATACAGGCCTATGATGAGAAATGGGTTAAAATTTGGGATCAAATTGTGTTGTCATATTTATGTTTGTGTGGTCCCATATACCGAAATCTGTGCTCAGTGCTTTAATTGATTGTGATTTCTAATAAGACCAATAGAAGTTTGGTTATTTCAGAACCGCATAATACATAGTTTTAACTGTATGAAGACGATAATTAATAGATACTTCTATACAATTTCTTTCACAATGTAATATGTATTGCCCGATTAGTACTTCCTATCTCGTTTCTTAAAGCTTAAAGGCAATCAAACCCACTGAAAAGGTTCATTTGTTTGAAAGCAGAAAAAAGAGAACTAGAATGGTGAAAATTGATATAAATCCGACTAATAATGAATTTGTTTTGATTTTGTGATTCGTCATAGTCATTTTGTGTATTGGAACCAATGTTAGAATTGTCCGCCACTGCGTAACAGTGACATTACCGATTTAGCCAATTTAAAATACCATACCTATATAGCGATTACAATTTATTAAAACAAATCATAATTTCCTTATTTTATGCCCGAATTAATTCCAACTTACACCAGTGTGCTGCTCTGATTTATCTGCTTTCTATTGCAATTAGATTAGTTTGGATTTCCCTTTAATTCGTTTTGCCCGATAGCAGATCTGTCTTCATCTACATGATCTAATGGTCTTCCGCCACTTCCGAACTGGGTATTGACAAACCATTTGATAAAGCGCAGTCCCGTAAGGTCATTCTTTCAAAACACCAGTCGTCCGTCTATGGCGGTGCATCTTCGTGGACACAGGATCCCCCCCCCCTCCCAACAAAAAATGGGGGGGAAGTAAAGGAGAGAGTGAGAGAAGAAGAGAGAGAGAGAGAGAGAGAGAGAGAGAGAGAGAGAGAGAAAGATAGAGGTAATGGGTAACGTGAACAAAAGACGGTACAACTCCACCCACACCGCGCCCTAAACAATGGCCTTTATTGCTTTCATTTCATCACTTGAGTAAGACCGGTGACCCCCTCAATCATTTAAAGAGCATATAAAAGTGGATTAATAGCTCGCAATCATCATTTCATTTGGTTATATTAGCTCTGTATCACGTGGCTCTGTTCTTCTGCATTCTATACGTCGTATTTCACATCCCCCATCTTTCCCAGTTAACAAAACAAGACAAAAGAAACAAACAAACAAACTATGTTGTCTTTAGAGTCAGAGAAGTTTAAGAGCGAGCCTCTAAAAATGAAGAGTGCATTAATGCCACTATAGAGATTAAAGCATTAGACGATAAATTAAACAAAAAATGTGTCAGGTGTCTTTCGGCGTCGGCAACTGTGCACCATCTCCCCAAAATTGAATCTTTTTAAGAGATGGAACAGAGACGATTATGAATTCCTGACCATCTTTTACTCTCTCTAAAGAAATTGCAATGCAAGAGATACTAGCTTTAATTATTCATTCCCCTTCATGCTTCGGGGTATTATAAATTAATAATGACACGGATCTCAAATTCTACTCAAAGCCGGCCAGTCTACGTATTTGCATACCAGTCTTGCGTTGCGTGATTTATAAGGAGAGAGGAAAGTGGAACTTGAAACGTTTTCTTGTGTTTGCTAAACCAATGAATATATATTACTTCGACGGAGAGATGACTATTTCAAAGAAACACATGGATTTTCATTGGCGTATATCATGATCAAAATACGTGTTAAAAGAGCACCAAAATATACGTATCGTATTGCTAGAAAAGGACTATTGCGAAGAATAGGAAAAATATGAAAGAAAATGCTCGAAAAAAAACTTTTTGCTGACATGAATATTGCAAAATTATAGATAGCATAGAAATTGGAAAATTTCACAACTATTGGACGGTAATCACCGTAGAAATGTAAGTTATATCAAGGCTTAAACCCAGCTAAATGGGTTAAGTTAGTCCACCGATGTTGGAGTATAACGTCCTCCGCATACAGAGATCGAAATGATCTTGATTTATTAACTAACGAATATATAAACATCATGTCACAAAAACTCGCAGTTATATGAATTGTCTATTTTCATTTTATGACTTAATACATTTCGTTTTATCATTTTTTTTTACATTAATCTAATTACTGTAAATAATATTAGTACGTTAATATGACCGGTATAAACATGGTCGAAGTGGCACGTTTTAAATCACCGAGGCAATGTATAAAGCCCGTATTTAATCCTAATAATATCATTTTTCTTCTTCAAATCAGCACATAAATAGTCTGTATCAGGAGTTTAGGTGAATCGAAAATGAGAGAAGTCTTTCGTTTTATTTATTTATTTTAAATGAATGTCCCTAGATTTAGTTGCTTATCACAGTTAGGCAATCTATCAATTTCACGTTCATTCCTCACTTTCAATCATTGACATACAGTACCTCATTATCAAAATGTAAGAATTCTGATTGGGGAATGTTTTTGCCGAATCTCAATCACATTTCACTAAAAAGTAAGCAAACATTATCCGAGTAAGAAATGTGGTACAAGAGCCCAAAAGTTAGTCGGACACATTATTCCTTTTGTTTTGGGCAATCTTACCAAACCATTTTTTAAAGTTTAATTTCCATCTCCATATTTGTACTCTGCCGATTTACAGTACAATTCAAAACAATTGAGACAAACAAGCACTTTAAAATCAAGACAGCAATAACCGATTATGTATTCTTAGATTTAGTATCATATCGCCAGCTAGAATTAAAATAACATTCAATTAGGAACTTTTGATTTGTATTTCATGATTTCACATAACAATATGAACATATTGATTATGAAAAGGGATCAAATGACATACTTACAGATTTAGTGTTAACTCGCTTATGAGGACAAAAGTGATGTATTGCATTATGATATTATCATTCTTGTAGTAATAGCTTTTGAAATGACCCTTTCAAGATCATAATCCAAAGTTTGTCCTCTCGATTGTCAAGATTATAAAGCTACAATCACCTCATAAAATGACTTATTAGCATAGAACGCAACTCAAAATTACCGACATGTGCTATTTAACACGTGCTTTGTGTCATAAAAGCCATTTCTAGCACCATAAGACACACAGTTATGACTACGGCCGGTAACAAACCGGATAAATTAGGCAGATAAAAACTTATTAATGCGACGGATAATTGCCCCTAAATTGAAGATAAATTGTGTCCCCTGCTAGCCGGTCTGTTTTCATGCTGCCCGGCTGCTTTATAATATCTCGACGGACATGATACATTCACATTTCACTTTGGTTGTAGCTTTTTCTTCATGTTCTTTCTTGTTTATACAGGGGGAAACTCTGAAACATTGCTTTTATCGCTTCAGAATGTTTTTCGTTCGTTTTCTCGATTTAGTGAAGGAATGGTGTACTTTAGCGAGATAGGGAGTGAATAACGGAATTATGCA